ACAAGGAAGCTGGTGATAGGGAACCCAAGTTTGAGTAAGGATATTGTTGATGTGTTGTGAGATTGTTAACCATTGTCATAGGGCAACGTGTGTAGTAACTGTTAAATGAGAAACTATTCTGTTCTGTAAGCCTTCATCTTAAGTGAGAATAGCAGCTCAATTGGAAGAGTGTAGTCAATGTCACTGAACTGTGCATGTCGAAATTTTTGAAATGGTGTATCTTTGGCTATGTGTATTTTCACCAAACAAAAAAAGAGGTTGAGAAGTTAGAGGGTTAATACGTTGTGGGGTTGTTAACCAATGTTATAAAACAACGTGTGTACTTCTGTTTCACGAGAAACTATTTGTTCTGTAAGCCTTCACCTGACGTACAATAAAAATAAATAAATAAATTTAAAAAAAAGAAAAAAACTAGACTGCGGGCTGGATTTGGCCAGTGGGTGGCAGTTTGCTGACCCCTAATTTGGAGGATTAATGAGATGATAAGAATTTCCAAAACTGAGAAACAAAGGTAATCATGCATTAATAGAAAGAGGATTCTTCCTCTACTGTTCAGAAAAAGGATGTGGGAGGACATATGGATTGAATGGTAGGGGAGCAGGAGAATGGTGTCTTCTGGGAAAAGTCAGGTATAGGTTGAGGCCTGGTGGAATCTCGGCCTCGGAGAAGAAACCTACATCAGAAGAGGAAGGAAAGAGAGAAAAGGAGTAAGACAGCAGGGAGAAAGGGCGAAGGGGGGCCCGGGAGAGGCTGAACAAGGCAGGCCTAGAGTGGTGTGTTTCAGGTAGAGTTGTCACTGGGGTGCTATGAGTACCTTTGGTATTAGGTAGGCTATTAATTTGGCTCTCGTCACAGAGACCCTGAAGAAGAGGGGCTCAAACCATTGGGAAGTGCATTTCTCTCTCACACAACAGTCTGTGTGTAGGGAGTCCAGGCTGGTATGGCAGCTCCATGGGGCCAGAGACTCAAATTCCACCTGGTCCAAGATGGTGTACCACTATACCTACCTTCCAGCTAGTGGAAGGGGGAAAGGGGAAGCCAAGGACATGCCCTCTCCCTCTTAGGTAGGGTTATCCACCTAGGTACTATTGACATTTTGGACCAGATAATTCTTTGTGGTGGGGCTGTTCTCTGCACTATAGGATGTTTGGCAGCAACCTTGGCCACTGCCAACTATGTGCCAGCAGCATCAGCCCCCCGTCGTGATGACAAGAAATCTCTCCAGACCCTGCCAAGTGTCTCCTGGGGGGCCAAGTTGCCTCTGGTTGAGACCCACAGTTTTATGGTTATAACCCAGAAGTTGCCCACAATGCTTCTGCTCACATCCCAGTGATGGCGAGAGTGTTATTGCTTGGCCAGCCCAACGGTAAGGGAGGCTTGGAATTGTCTCTCTTTCAGGTGGCCGGCTAAAAGCTAGCTAAAGAAGGCGAGAAGCTAGCGGATTCTCCCCCCTACCCCTTGTTGCTACGGTGAATGGGGATTCTGTAGCTGATTGAGGAGGCGGCCCTGTTCTTTTTGTCTTCCAGGCTGAGTTTTAATAATTATTCATTTTAACTCACTTGCATAAAAACATTGGTGGTGGGGAGCACTAAATACCTAGAAAGTGACAACCCCGTTTGAAAGGAAGGGCCATTTTCCTCAAGAGGGCTGACTAGGGAGAGAAACTGGATTCTGTAATGGAGGCGAGGGGAGGTTGGATTTTCGCTTGTGTTTTAGCGCCATCTGGTGGCATTCTATAAATCTTGCCATTAAAGAACCAACTCAAAAACCCGTTGCTGTCGAGTCCATTCGATTCGATTCCGACTGCTAGCGACCCTATAGCACAGAGTAGAACCACCCCACAGGGCTGTTGAAGCGGCCGGTGGTTTCAAACTGACGACCTTTTGGTTAGCAGCTGTAGCACTTAACCACTATGCCGCCAGTGCTCCATTATAGAACCCATTGCCTTCTAGCCAAGGAGCCCTGGTGGTGCAGTGGTTAAGCACTCGGCTGCTAACCGAAAGGTTGGTGGTTCGAATCCACCAGACGCTCTGGGGGAGAAGGATGTGGCAGTCTGTTTCCGTAAAAATTACAGCCTTGGAAATCCTATGGGGCAGTTCTACTCTGCCCTACGGGATCACTATAAGTCAGAATTGACTCGACG